AAATCGGATTAGACCAGAGCATGCACACTGCTACAGATAAGAGCCTGCAACACAGGAACTCCAAGATAGATAAACCCGCCAAGGCCAACAAGGAGAGCAGAGATACCAGGATAGGGGTTGGGGGCGGGGGAGAAAAGGGGAATCATCACAAAGATCAACCTAGACCCCCTCCCAGGGGGATGAATAACAAAAAAGTGGGTGAGGGGAGACTGAGGACGATGTAAGATATAGAAAAATAATCTATAACTTATCAAGGGTTTGTGAGGGAGGGGGAAGAAATGGGGAGCTGATATCAGGGGCTCAAGTGGGAAGAGAATGCTTTGAAAATAATGATGGCGGCATGTGTGCAAATGTGCTTGACACTGGAGGAATGTATGGATTGTGATGAGATGTAAGAGGGCCCAATAAAAGTATTTTTTTTTAAGTCAAGAGTACTAAAGGGTCTGCCCTCTACAGGGCCATCCTTGCCTCTTACAATTAATCAGGAATTACCATGAGAAATCAAAACAAAAAACTACAGGTGGAATGAATATTATTTAACACAAAAGATGTGGGGGGTTTTTCTCTCCAAACTCCGCCTGCCCTACCTCTTTCTAAGCATTTCGGGAGTCCCACCAGACAAGGGGTAAACGGCAGCCTTGAACACTCGATCCCCTTTGGAGAGGGTGAGGCGTGATGGACAGAAATCAATGTAAAATAAATGAGCCAAACCTTTGCCAGAGTTTGGTCGCTCGGTCACTCTGCCTGCTCCCTCGATGAAGCTGGTCATCTTACGCATCACTCTGGGGCTCCCCGTCTCAGCAGAAGCGGCGCAAACGCTGTGCTGGCGCTCACGCAGCAGAGCCAGTGGGTACGCAGGGAGGCAGGTGTGTCTCTACCTTGGTACCATCACGGAAACGGAAAGACAAATGGGCAGCCATGAAAAGAACACGGGAAAGCACTGGGGCATGAAGACGGTCCTCTCATTTCCCACAAATCCCAACTGGACCTAAACAGGTCCACTTTCAGGTGGCCTGTCAAAGGCAATCTGCTCGGCCTTTAGTTAGCGAGGGATGTGAAAAACCTGATGAGAGCTTTTAGGATGAGGCCTGGGAGAGTGGCCTTGGGCAGGCAATGGAATTTCACTGTTCTGTTCCCCCATCTATGAAAGGGGGATGTCAACACTACACCCCCACAGGGAAGAACGCTTGCTAACCTCTATTGCATGCTTTAGCACTCTGTATGTGCGTTGCTGTTGATTCTGACCCCTCACAGCCCCTTGTGTCCAGGAGGGAATTATTTAGTAAGCAACGTTAAGCACAGGTTTACTTGTGCTCCTTCATTAATCTGCACTGAATACCAAAAAAGCAAGCTCACTGCCATCGAGTCAAAGCCAAGTCATCGTGACCCTGGAGGGCAGGACAGAACTCAAGTGCCCCTGTGGGTTCCTGAGACTTAACTCTTGACAGGAGCAGAAAGCCTCCTCTTTCTCCGGATCAATGGTTGCTGGTCTCGAACTGCTGATCTTATCGTTAGCAGCCCAAAGTACAAAACACATCACCAGGGCTCCAGCCAAGGTAACACACCACCTTTACCCTCACAGCCAGTATTGCTCTCCCATCACACCTGAGTTTGTCACTGCCAGATGTATGCTGGTACAGTACAAATTACTGGGATACTTTTGTCATTCTATGTCAGATGTGGAGATAGTAGGTAAGGAATAGTGTACCTGCATTTGCTATATAGAATGCAGACTTGCCCCTTGTAAAAAAATGAAAGCTTAGCATCATCTGACAGTGTCCCAAATACAATACAAAATTCCTACAGGCAGTCAACTCCCTTTGCCGGATAAAAACCTGGGCAGTAACCCAAAGCTGAATTCCCTAATTAGGTTTTCTGCATATTTCAAAGAATGCAAAGAGCCATAATTCTCTAGCTTAATATTTTCACCTAAAAGCACTCACTGTACTTGTAATGAGGGAAGTCGTTTCTATTCCCAAGTCCCATTAGGGGGCAGTCTAGCGTTAAGAGCCGCAGCAATACTCCAGCCCAGGGGTCCTCAAACTTTTTAAACAGGGGGCCAGTTCACTCTCCCTCGGACAGTTGGAAGGCCGGGCTATAGTTTTAAAAAATGCTATGAACAAATTCCTATGCACACTTCACATATCTTATTTTGAAGTAAAAAGACAAATGGGGCAAAAACACCGGTGAGCCAGATAAATATCCTTGGCGGGCCGCGTGTGGCCCACGGGCCATAGTTCGAGGATGTCTGCTCCAGCCTGAGGCTAAGAGATCTCCGTCAGTCCGGTGAGGTTCACACCAAAATACTCCCATCCCTAATCAGTCAGGTACACGGGCCAGAAAATACTCACTATATGTTGAAAGTTGTCCGTTGGGAAGTGCAGGGGGTCCCAGGCCAATAATAACTGTGGGGTGGAGGTGGAGAAGATCCCTCAGGAATGGGCCCACAGGGGGTTCTCCTTGTAAGAGTTCTGTAAGCTGTTTTCGTGTGTCTCTGGGTGGCCGGAACTATTCCTAGCTATAAGCCTGGTGATTAGAGCCCAACCAGAGGAGCCAACGGAGATGAGCTTGGGCACCCACTTCCAAAGTCACAGCCCTGAAACCCTCCTCCACATGCCGTGTGTGAGGTGGCAGGACCCAGTCAACTCCAGGGGACAGAGCCACAATTCCCGGGCTTTATGTACGTGCGAATGAGTGATACACACTTCACAATTAAAACAGCTATTCTCAAACTGAAAGGTGTCATGTGAGTAGACACTCGGCTAGGGTTATTAAGAAGATAACTTAAACTCACTGGTATTGAGTCCAGCGTATAGGGAGGGATTCTATATAGGGTTCCTGAGATTCTACATCTCTATGGGAGCAGTCTCATCTTTCTCCCAAGGAGCAGAGGATAGGTTGGAACCATCGACCTTGAGGCTAGCAGCTGAAGCTGAACCCACGGAGAATGAGGCAGGTGGTAAAAAATGACCTTTGGGGAATAAATGTGCCCCCCGGCCCCCAAACCTGGTCAAAGAAGTCTCCACCTGGCACATGCCCCCGCACCAGCCCCTCCTCCACCCCGGCCACGGATCTGCAAAAGCAGCTCCGTCTCATTTCCATGACCTCCTTGGATCAGAATATTGTTATAAAAGAAACACACACCAGCACCAAGTAACAACCGCAGTTTTTAATGGAAACAATTTGACATTCCAGAAACAATTTGAAGGGGGGGAAAAAATCTTCCCTATAAAAATAAATCTGCTCAGAAATTATAAATATTATAACTTTACTTCTGCGACTTAAAATGCTTACCCATCCCTTCCCGCACCATCGCCTGTACCATCAAACTGAAAGCAGCGTGCTTGGTTTCATAGCACTCCAGAACTTGTAAACCCGACTCCCGGCCCACACTCTCGGCCTTCGTGCCCTCGTGCTGCTGCTTTCAAACACTGAAGCATCTGCTGCTGCGGTGACTGGGTCTGGGAGCGCTACCAGTCTTTAGAAGAACCTGAGCGGACAGCTTCAGCACAGCAAATTCTCCGAGTCGCCACTTGTAGTGCGCGTGACAGCGAGGTTCTGGGTGATACACATGAGGAGGGGGATGCCTCCCACTTAGACCAGCTACTTCTTCAAGTAAAAAAAAAAAAAAAAAAATTCACAGATAGCCATCTGCTATGCCCTACAGTTTCTAACAGTGTCTTTATCTGAGAAGCAAATGCTTCACAAAATATAAGCTTACAGCTGAGCTGGGATGGGTCATTAAAGAGACCAGGTGGTGGATAGCAGGATGCTCAAACCCAAGCCTTAGTCTGAATCATTAAAACCAGGATCAAAATCATGAAAGCATTCCCTGAACAATAAAGATGAAAGTATTGGGTGACAGCGTCACCCAAACCTCATTGATTCGCTAAAACCTTCCATGCAAAATTAAACAAAATGTGCCATAGATATATATACATTTTTAATAGCTAGTTCTACTTTTTTTTTTTTCTTTTTCCTTAAAAGCAAAGGAAAGTAAGATTGTCTCCGTAACTGCATGGCCCTACAGACAGCACAGGAACTCTGCCTCCAACAGATGGGCGCTCCATGAAGAGTCAGCAGGGCCACCCAGGGAGAGCCCCAGAATTGCAATAAAAGGCACCGTTCACCTAAGAGGCAAAGCGCTGAAGCACCTTGGAATTTCAAAAAGAATCCATTAGGTGTCACCAAAGTGTTAACAATTCCTTGGGAATTCGTAATCAAGAATTGCCTACAGCTAACTACAATCAACCGGACGGACAGGCCTCCGGCAACCACAGCACAGCTCTCAGGTCCTCGGTGCTGTGGTCACCCAAAAAGGAGGCGCCCGGCGACGGACGGAAGGAAGGCGGCTGCTGCGCAGGCCTTTCTTTGGCTGGTAGCATAGGGCACTTCTGGGAAAAGACACCATTTCCACGAGAAAGCAAAATCTTGCCGTGTGGTACGACTTTCTCACCGCCTCCTCCTTCAAAGTCCTGCAAACGAAGGACATAGGAATGGACTGGGTTTTCAACCAATATCCCTGTGGTGTATGATGTCCGGTTTATAAATGAAAGTGGAGGAAAGGGAGCAAGAACGGGAAGACTGGAGGGAGGGAAGGGGGGAATGTGGAGGAGGAGGAAGACTCATGGAAAGGGGAGAAGAGGAGGGGAGAAAAGCGCACTGGCCACCGGACGGTCACACAGCCCTCTGCTGTGAGCCCTCTCCCAGATAAACCACCTGGCTGGCAGTCAGGGGAACAACAGCTGCCCCACTCCTCCCCCAAACTCCTTTTTAACCTTGAAAACCACCTCTGGAAAAACGACCGCTTAACAGGCTGGGGACGGCCCCACCTGCCCCGAGAAGCGACACCAATTATACCTTTCACTCCAGGAGGACAGACTCGGGGGCAGAAGGCCCCCTCTGACCAAGTTTCCACTTCTCCAGTCAGCTCCTGGTCACAGGCCCTCTGCGGCTCCCTCCCTACAGTCTGCCCAAACAATCCTACAATGGGCTTAGGTCGCAAAAGCAGTTTACAAACACACCTCGACACCACAATCGTTAGCTAAATCCGTTCTGTCCCCCTTTCTCTACCTGTACCTCTACCCTTCTTCCAAACTTGCTCTTTGCGTTCTGTGTCCAACGTCTACCGTATCCTTCACAAACTCCACAGTGTTCCTGGGTTCCTGTGCCTTTCCACTCTCATGGATAGTTTCCTTTGACATACAGAAAGACCAAAAAGTAAAAAAAAGGTAGTTTCAACGTAAAACAAGCATTCAGATTCCTAGTTGAGCTTAAAAAATCATTTGCACATCCTTAAGCTTAATATCATCATCGTGAACATCATCAACATAATTAAAATAACTACAAGAGGAGAAATAAAATAATCCAAAGTCCATGCCACAAAGCACCCTAGAATGCTGCCCGCAGACCACTCTTGGAGCTTCACAGCTTGTCGAGAGGTAATGTCATAGCGGTGCTGGACAGAACAAGCTTTCAGGAGCCCCTTACGCAGGCCGAGGAAGGCACGGGGTGCTGTGTGAGAACTACGTCTGCAGATAAGGAGAGGGGGGACACGCCGCTGGAGAAGGGGTGCTCACTGCTGTCTTGTGCAGGTTCCCCCCACTCTGAGCAGCCCCCATGGTCCCTGAGTGGCTGTGGGCCCTCGTTCTAATCGGGCTTCCACACCTCCCTGAGGGCCTCTTCCAGCCTCTGCTTGTAGGCCGTGTAGCGCTTCTTCAGGTTCTGAAGCTGCTCATCCTCCTCCTTGTCCAAGATGCGCAGGAAATTCTGGAGTTCAGGAAGGCTGAAGGCTTCCCACTGTGGAGGAACACAAGAGAGAGAAAAAACGCCAGGGACTTAGGCAGGTTCAGAGCTCAGGGGTGCCAAGAGGGAGGCGAGGCTGCCCTCACCCTCCCTCCGCTCACAGCCCAGCACCTCAAAAGCAGTGTTTAAACGAGTAGGTTATTGATGAGCACATTACCGGTGATACGTGGCTGTTAGGAGCCACCTTGTCTGTCCTGACGTGGAGCTACCTGGGTACAAGAGAACAAAACACCGCTGGGGTCTAGGGCCTCCTTGCAATCATTACGCTTGAGCTCACTGTGTGGCCACGGTGCCAATCCACCTGGTCGAGGGTCTTCCTGTGTTTCCCTGACCTTCTACTTAACTCTCTGGATCCTTTTAACTCCCCCACCCCTCAGTGCACACCAATCAGCCTTCAACGCACACTGTTCCTCCAGAAAGGCTCTCGTGGGGGCCTAAGACCCTCTGTCCCTAACACCAGTGCACCTATGCCTTTCCTGAGAGGACCTCAGCAGCATTAGAAGCAGCCGCCCCAGCTCGTCCTTCTACTTGGATTCACCAGGTCACCTTCTTCCTCAGCCTCACCTTCTACAGTCAGCCGTCACTACACCATGGCAGAGCAGAACTGTGCCCCAGCGGGATTTCGATGGCCGACCTGGGGAAGATCACCAGGCCTTTGTTCCAGAGCGCCCTGGGGGAACGCGAGCCTTCAACTTGTCCAAAGCAGTTGAGCAAACTGCACCACCCAGAGACACAATCTTAGCTTCTCTTCAAGTTTTCCAGTCCACCTACTTCACTTCCATTGCCCCCTAGTGGAAGCAGCCACCATTGTGCGATTTCTTCCAGACTCCCTGAAGACCCGCCCCATTTTTTTTTTTTAAACATTTTATTAGGGGCTCATACAACTGTTATCCCCATTTTGTTTTTCACATGTTCAGTTCTTCAGATAAACCAAAAACCCCACACCCACTGCCATTGGATCAATTCTGGCTCACAGAGCAGAACTCTCCTTAGGGTTTCTGAAACTGTGGTCTTCTCACAGGCGCAGACGGCCTCAGCTTTCTCCCTGGGAGCAGCTGGTGGGTTTGAACCACCAACCTTGTAGTTAGTAGCACAATGTGTAACCCACGGCACCACTGGGGCCCCATTTTCAAATTAAAGACTTGGTCAACTCTGCTTCCACCCCGACAACCACAGAAGACTTGTGCCCAGTTAGCCTTGAGGGCTTCGAAGACAATGTAAGGTTCAAAACTAGGTTGACAGGTTTCTTCCCAGACCAGGTCGTGAACAAAGGTGTGTGCCAATAGTTCAATGACAAAGAAAGTAAAACTTCAAGAAGGCTATGCTAACCTATCCGTTGACACTTCCGGGAAACGCTGCTCATAAGCAGGGGCTTCAAAAATTTCACGGAAGACATGGAATGGAAAGATCATGGGATTTTCCTGTTGGAAGCTGCCTCATACCACACTTCCAGCACCCAACCTCTCTTCCCAAATTGAGTCTGACTTATATACTGAGCCAGAGTCTACATTTTAACACGGACTGGGGATCTATAAGAATCACCTGGGAACCTGGTTAAAAGAAGACTGATCCAGTGTCTTGGGGTGGGAAGGGAAGGGCTCAGCAGGGGGCCAGCCCAGAAGGACTGGGTTCCAAGCCTCTGTCGAAAGTGCCCTTTCCTGGAAACTGACCAGCCTAACACCATCCTCCCTGGAGAGAAACTGACACGTGATGCACATGCAAACAGTTTCTTGCTCATCCAACCAGGCAAGGGTAGGTAACAAAGAATACACAGAGGGTCTTTCCAAGTAAGGAGACAGAATTTCGCTATTTCCCATTAGAACAGCTGGTTTGGAAACTTTTGCAAGGAGCAGACACATGGAGGGTGTTGCCTCTTTCCTGGAGTAATTGGGAGGTGGAAGGGTGGGACTGCCCTCTGGGTGGGATCAGTTAAAAAAAAAAAAGTTGTGGGGGCGGGGAGGGGTGTAAATTATCTCACAACTCTGAAAATTACAGACCAGCATCATGCTATAGGAGAATTATAAGACTAACTTTGAGATCATTTCTGACCATTAAAAAGCACACAGGAAGCCATCTTCCACAGGACCACCTCCCACCAGACAGACCCAGGCACCCCACCGACACCCTCACCCCCAGTGGCACCATCACCAGAGGACAGCTGTAAAACGGGATCAGCTGCTCTGAAGGCAATCAACAAACACTCACCTCTCCGATTTCATGTTCACGAAGAACAAAACTAAGAGTGTCTGTCTTGGGTCCTGCCACCAACCGCAGGTAGAGCGGATGTTCCCGGTCTGAGAGCTTGCAGGCGTAGACTGAGGAAGGAAACAAGGAGCCCATTACCCACAAGCAGGCACGCCCTCCCCACCCCACCAGACGAGGGTGTAGGGAGCAGCTACACCCAGTCCAACTCCAACTCATAGGACCTCATGTGGCAGAGAACCTGTCCCAGGGGGTATTCTGTAATCTTTACGGGACCAAATGGCCTGTTCTTCCTCTCAGAGCAGATGGTGGTTTTGAACCATTGACCTCTCCTGTTGACCTCTCCTATTAGCAGCCACATTTGTAACCATTATGCTACTAGGGCTCCCCTCTTATCATCCTGTCTCAACTGTTCACTAGCTGTCCAAGGTGGGAAGAAATTGACACTATTTCTTTTCTACCTGTCCAGTATAAACGGTGTCCTGAGTAGTAAGGAAATCATGTTCAAGAATGGATTAAAATGGGCAGGTGTCCTTGGGTAGTGCAAATAGTTCATATGCTTGGCTGCTAACAAAGTGTAGAGGTTTGAATCTGTCCAGAGGGGCCTCGGAAGAAAGGCCTGGCACGGATAAGAGCCTGAAACATGGGAATCCGGGAAAGAGAAACCCCTCAGGACCAATAATGAGAGTAGTGATACCAGGAGGGGAAGGGGAAGGTGGGGTTATTAAAGGGGGAAATGATCACAATGAATGAAATGTAACCGCTTCCCAGGGATTCTATGAACAAACAACAGAAAAGTAGGTGAAGGGAGACAGTGGACGATGTAAGACATGAAAATAATAATAATTTATAATTATCAAGGGTTCATGAGGGAGGGCGGGTGACGATGGGAGGGGAAAAAATGAGGAGCTGATATCAAGGGGTCAAGTAGAAACAAAATGTTTTGAAAATGATGATGGCAGCATATGTGCAAATGTGCTTGACAACGGATGGATGTGTAGTGTGGTAAGAGCTGTAAAAGCCCCCAATAAAAAGATTTTTTTTTTAAAGAAGAAAGGCCTGGCAAGTCCCCCCCACCCCCCCCAAAAAATCAGCCACTGCAAGTCCCAGGGAACCATTCTTTAGACATACATGGGATCACAATGAGTCGGGGTCAACTCAACAGCCACCAGTTTGTCCCCAAACATGCTTTTAATTAGTTCTATTCCTCCCTTTCAGAAAACAAGACAAGAAGCTAAAATGTCGGCTCCTTTAATGACCGTATAAAGGCGCCTCTGAACAGCCTGAAAACAGAGCTCTAGGAGCCAATCTCTCCATTCGGATCCTCACACAAACTCCGTCAACGGGACGCAAGCCCTGGTGGCCTCACGACGAGCTGTGTCCCCTGCTTGCTGCACACAACCGGGTACCGACCCCGCTGACACCGGGCAGAGGTTGGCCAGCCGAAAAGAAAGACGCCAGTCCACTGTCGTCAAGTCAATTCCGACTCATGGTGGCCCTGAGGAAAGGGCAGTGTGCCCCACAGGGCTCCCAAGCTGGTGACCATCCCTGAAGCCGACCACCAGCCTTCCTCCCACAGGGGCTGGGGGGTTAGAACTGCAGCCGAGTGCTTAACCACTTGTGCCACTGGGGCTCCTGAGGGAGGGGTTCACTGGGATGCAATTCCTGTCCGGTTGTGCAGCTGACATCCAGGTAGGCAGACAGAGAAGCTGGCGAGATGAATAGCCATTGGGGCACCTCTCCATGTGGGTGCCAATTCCTGCTACAAACACACACACCTCTAGGGCCAGCCCATCGGAGCTTTCCTGGCCAAACTTCCCCACACAGCTAAGCCCATGGCCTCCTGGGGACAGGAACACAGGCCTCCTCATCTGTGCATTCCAGGACGAGCCGGACAGCAGCCCAAGGCGGGCTTTTCATCAACATCTGCAGGCTGGGTTTCATTCCTCAGTAACTGCAAGCCTCTCTTCTTCTCCAGTTGCTTTAGGCTCCAGGCAGAAAAACCAAGCAACTTAAACCGGCTTACTGCTCCCACCCAGACACCATCTCCACGTTGGCACGTAAAGCACAGCCCCATCGCTGCTGCCTACCACTGGTCTTGATTTCTGCTCAACGGCCAGGCCTGCGGGAGAGAGCCGGGGCTTCGGGGGCAGTTCTACCCTATCCTACTGAGCGGCTAGGAGTCAGCGTTGACGCGGTGGCACGGAGTTTGGTTTGCCTGGCCTGCAGTATCTTGGTCGGCAGCATGCCGTAATCGAATTTTTCCTTTCTGAATGTGAGTAGCCCATGCAGGCAGACAGAAAAGACCTCAGATGAACATGTTGTTCTCCCGCTGTAGGTGCTTCTGGGTGTAAGGACCCAAAGGGCCCCAGGGCAACACCATGCAAGATAGGCTTCAGAAACAGAAGCACCATTTACACAGGCAGTCTGACGTGGGCTTCGAACACACACATCTCCTCTCCTCACGCACTCACGACGCCCACCACGCAGGCTTCGGACACCCGCATCTCCCATTTTTTAAGAACTCACGTTTCCCCACCCCCACACAGGGTACTGAAACAGATCAGTGTGCAACCTGCTATTGGCAATGCCAAGCACAAAGGCATTCATGTGAGCCATGCTGAGACTTAAAATCAAAACTTCACACACACACACACACACAAAACTACTATGTCCACACCCACGAAACTACCCCCATGTGCACATCCCCACACCTTCCATAGGTGCCCACCACATGTAGATGCCTTTGTTGCCCTCAGCCCCACAGCTGTCCATCTGAGTGTGGACAGCCAGGAAGCATTCAGAGCCTGCCCCATCAGACGCTGCCCCTGAGGGGGTGCTGGCTCAATGGACAGACACACCCACAAGTCTCCTTCTGCGAAAGACAAAGGATGGAAGTAAAAGCAGAAAGCTGCTCTCATTTTCAGCCCAGGACCTAGAGCAGCAGTTCTCAGGAGTCACCCAATTCATAGCAGTAGCAAATGGCAGTGATGAAGTAGTAACGAAAATGATGTGATGGTTGGGGGTCACCACAACAGGACGAGCTGTGTGAAAGGGTCGCGGCATTAGGAAGGCTGAGAACCGCTGACCTAGAAGGATGCCTTCTGTATCAAACCTACCTTGATCTTCCCTGTGACAGCGCTTATAAAGTGCAAACTTGGCAGGGCTCTCCGTCACCAGGAACTTCTTGAGCAGGGCCTCGATCACCTCGCCGGCCGTGTTTGTGCTGCTGATGTGGAGCGTGTTCATGCAGCCATTGCCACCGGGCGCCTGTTTCCCAGGACTCTGAGAAGTCTGGGGAGGCCTGCAGAGCTCCATCTGAACCTTAATGAAGCCAGTGTAAATCCCATTGGAATTCTGAAGCGGGAAGAAAAAGCACACACAGACGGGGTGAGAGCAGCTCATCAGGGCAAGAGGGGAGTCTTCTTTTCTAGGTGCTGCTGCAACCCAACACCTCGCATGGGTGGGGCTGTCATACACAGGGCCTTGTGTCCTCACAGCCGGGAGGCTAGACATCTGAGTTCAGAAAGCATGCACGGTCAGCTGGGGAGCATCTTTGCGCCCCAGTTTTTCCAGCCCGTGTTTCTAGGTTCCTGGGTGGTCTCCAAGTGGCATATAACTCCCCCAGTTGTGTTTCCTTGCTCCTCTCGGGTCTAATCTGCTTTGTTCATATTTCAAAGGAGGGTAGGTTTAAGACTCTAAACCAAACTCCCTGCCAGCTGGGCAGCTGGGCTCACAGTGACTCTATAGGACAGGGTAGATCTGCCCGCTATGGGTTTCCGAGACTGTAACTGGGAGTCGCACGCCTTGTCTTTGTCCTGAGGATCAGCTGGTGCTTTTGGACTGGAGCTTGTGGCTAGGAGCCTAACCACTTCACCACCAGGGCCCCTTCTAGGTTTCAGACAGCCCGACATTGATATGGATTCATTAACATAACAAAGAGAACCTGACTCCCCAGTGGGGTAGCACAGGGTTAGGGTTTGAACACATATTAGGAGGTGGGGGGCACAATTCAATCCATAACAGGGTGTTGGTATCAACACAAATTAGGAAGGGGAAACTCTTCCCCAGGAATGACCTCAGACAGAGAGCAACACACCACTGCCAAGCACTCCCTGAGGCAGGGTCTTCTGCAGGGCAGCTGTGCTGACCCAAGGCGCCTCCCCCTCGCCCTCGCCTTGTGGCTGCCTTGAAAGGCCAGGCCCTGTTGCGAAGGTCCAGCCCGTTGGAGCCCACATCAGCTAAACCACAGCACCCAGTGAGGCTTGGGGACTCCTCATCCTCAGCTAATGCCTGGCCATTATACAGTGAACCCTCACCACTTCGCGCTTTGACTTCCGCGGCTTCACTCTATCGCGGTTATTGCGTAACAGCGCCCACTGCCTACACCCGCTCCTTCAGAGGAAAAAGACGGCAACCCACCTGTAGAGTACATCCCTTAAGTCATTTCATAGGCTATTGATTACAGTATTTGTAAGAACTATGTATAATAATACTGTATGTAAAATATGTAATACTGTAAACTAGATGCCATAAATAATATAATAAATAATAAATGATAACTGTAACGTCCAAAATGTTTTACTGTATTTTCCCTTTTTCGTTTAATAAATTGGGTAATACGAGTGTAATGGTGACTAAAGGGTGTTTTTTCATGTCCTCTATGCTCTAACTACGAAAATATTTGATTTACAAATAAGGAATCCTACTTCGCGGAATTTCATTTATCACGGTAGGGTCTAGAACCGATTAACCGCAATAAACGAGGGTTCACTGTACAAAAAAGGCAGGTCACAATTAGGACTTGAAATGCCTGCGTAAACAGTGAGCGGACAGGCAGTAAGAAGGCAGGCTGTGTTCGTTTCCGGGGGGGTTGGGGGGGGCTATTAAGATGCTGTGTTAGATGCATACTGGATTGCAAGCTTTCCTTACACTTAAAGAGAAGCAAAACATGCATCACAGAGTGGGGTTCAAAACGTTAGTGAAAAAAATGGTATGAAAAGATAAAGGATGTTTTGAAAATGATGACAGCAACATATGTACAAAGGTACTGAATACAATTGATGTACAGATTGTTCTAAGAGCCCCTAATAAAATGATTTTTTTTTTTTTAAAAAAAGAAAAGATAATGGAATTTTCCCATATACTTTTTGAGGTGACCTCATACAGCCCCCTGTATATGGTGGCGTAGTGGGTCGGTTACACACTGGGCTGCAAACTCCCAAGGTTGGCAGTTCAAATGCACCAGGGAGAGATGAGGCTTGGGGCTCCTATCAAAAGTTGCAGCCTCAGAAACTGTAGGGAGCAGTTCGACTGCCTGATAGGGTTCTGAGAGCCAGAGTGGACGCGCATGGTCCTTATCTCATGGGATACATAATAATACATTTCGGGCATCGCAAACAACAGTATTTTTAAGGCAAGCCCTAGCTACAATGTGAATCAGCGATATCAGCAGCACTTGTCCTAATTGAAGATAGAACGAGAATTTTGTGAGTGCCAAAAGTGTAATAAGTGGTTCTGTTGTCACTGTCTCTCCCCCTTGCCCTCACGTTCCACATATTCAGTGGGGCGGGAGTCACTACAGTGCTCCGTGAAAACAACTTCTCCTGGGCTCGAAGTGACAGCGTTACAGGAGACCATGGAAAAGTTTTCTGGCCCCTTATTTTTCTTCTTTCCCAAAAGACCAACTTACAATATTAATTCATTTGTCCAGTCGTATAGGAAGTACTGTACAAATACTTCAACATTTCTCTGTGTTACACAATATGGAAATACGTGTCCGGTTCAATTCTGTATGTTGGGGGTGGGGGGCAGGTAGTGCAAGTAGAATTTTTCTCCTTGGATATAAAACATAGGTCTGAAGAAAGGAGAACTACCACTGTGGAACAGGTGGGGCACTGAAGTCTAAGGAGGAAGAGGATTATCTGGCCCCCGCCCACCTCAGGAGGAGCCCCTCTGGAGAGGAAAGGGGCATTCACCACCAGGTTTATACTGAAAGGCTCCTCCCTGGAGGGCCGTGGAATTCAGTTGAGCCTGTTTTAAACAGGCCACCCTGTCCTTTGCTGAACTCTGCCAGTTCACAGAACACCCACTGAGCGGCAAGGGTCTGGGGCCCCTGGAAACGCACACCAAGAGTGGACTGGTGCCACGTGGAAGGTCACCAAGTGGGCGGACAAGGAACAAGCGCAGCTCAGTTCAGAGGGACATGCATACTCGATCTTTGTTGTCAGCTCTTGTTCCATTGTTCCCAAGCCCTGTCTCTTTCTCCCTCCTACACCTTCACTCCCCACGGTGCTTCCAACAGTCTGGTGGATTGTTGTGGAAACAGGTGGGCAGCTGCACATCACACACTTCAGCTTACAATGGCGCCTGGCTGAGGAAAATCCCAGCCCGGCTGTATCTCAATCCACGGGCAAAAAATCCCTCCAGAACACCCCCAAGTTTTGCACAGACAAGATAATGTCTCTGTGATCTCATGAGAATCTCTGAGTTACTCTAGATACATAGACCCATGTGTGCACACAAGCAAGCATGCATGCTAAGTCAGCAGTGGTTACACTCAATATTAAAACTCCCCTGGGGTCCCAAATATGCTTCTACATCCATTTGTAGAGAGTTACCCTTTTTTGGAGGCCAACCTAGCCACTGGGTTTGAGATAAAGGTATTTGTAAACACAGATTCCATTTTAATGATGCATTTTTCCATCCTGTATACTGCAAACGTTACTTGGAGATTTAAAACCATACAAGCCGTGGCACCTGCAACTCACAGCTGTCTTTCCACAAGAGTCAACCCAACAGTAACGGAAGCGCTTACCAAGGTCATCTTCAGTTTGTCTGTGACAGCTAAGTTGTACTTCTGCACCTTCTCTTTGATTTCCTCTTTGCTGAGGTAATTGTGGGTTTCCTTCTCCTTCTCCACATCCTAGAAGGAAAACAAGCCACGCCACACATGAGCAATCGTAGAAAAAGAAATGCAGTTAAGCCAGGTTTTTTACATTCCGCACAGGAGTGACCACCGTGCATTTCACCTCCAAACACTCTCTCCACGCCCCCACTTCTTCTCTTTCAAGTTCTCCGAGCTCACCCACAAATTATGGTTTCATTCAGGATTATACTCTTCCTGGGGGTGATGGTTAATCCTCCGTGTCAACGTGGCTAGGCAATGGCCCCCCGTGGTTTGGCAGGCGCGGGATGACTGCTTCTCCATAACGTACTGTAAGGAGGCTACCCTCCACCTTGTGATCTTGTGTGAGCAGCCTAACTGTTGGGAAAAGCTAATCACAGTTGATATCCAATCTTGGGTCCTTGAAGATGTCCAAGGGGGTTTCAAAAAGTTTGTGGAAAAATGGAACTAAAAGATAACGGGATTTTCCCATGAGCTTTTTGAAGTCCGCCCTAGATGGATGCTCTGGCAAAGCTCTCTCCATATATATATTCCCCATCTGACTGCTCACCCTCCAGTTGGAACCTCCGCTCCTTAGGACATTAAGTCAGAAAGCTGCCATCTGACCTGACAATTTGGGGTCCATCAGCCCCTGTAACCATGTGAGTCAGAAGCCTGACCTATATAGATTTGGGACTTGAAGGTCTCCACAATCTTTGAAATAAGTCTCTATCAGATGAGGGAGGACTTCAAAATGTTTATGCAAACATTGCATTATCTTTCGATGTCATTTTTCCAAGAACTATGTGAAGCCCCGTGTGTGTGTGTGTGTGTGTGTGTGTGTGTGTGTGTGTTCAGTGGTTTTGCTCGTCTCAAGAAACTCTCGAGAAAACAGGGACATATCAAATAAATTTATCAGCAACTAAATGTAATGCTTCATTAAATATCACTTTGGAAATCTCTCTGGCTAAGTCTCCCTCCTACAAAAACACCATTCCCACGGAATACCTGCTCAGCTGACCATTTCTATTTTAAGCAATATTTAAACACATACCAAAGGTTTTCACTTTCTACTAACTTTATAGTCTTTATAGCTTTACAATATTTATCAGCAAATAGTGGGGTTAAAAACATTTTGTTTTTCCCCACAGCTGTCAAGTCTGTTCTGATTGAGGCCAGCTCCATGGTGCCGGCCGGCGTAGAACGGCATTCCACAGGGTTTCAGTGGCTGTAATCTTATGGAAGGATTCCAGGGGTGGCCCAAATGGCTAAGAGCTCAACTATTACCGTAAAGGTGCCAGTTCAAACCCACCCGGAAGATAAGTCTCGTGATAGACTTTATTAAGGCCACAACTTTGAAACCCTTCTGAAGCAGTTCTTTTCAGCACATGGGGCCATGATGAGTCTGAATGGACTCTACAGCCACAAACAACCATCTTATGGAAGACGACGACTAGGCCTTTCCTTCCACGGTGTCTCAGCATGGATTCAAACGACCAACCGTTGGGGTAGTAGACAAATGCAAACCATCTGCATCACCCGGGGGTCTAAACATTATGGTACAAAACCAAATTAAACCCATCGCCACGGAGTCAATTCCGACTTGGCAACGCTGTAGTATGGTAGTTCGTAATAGAGTAGAACTGTAACTGACTGCAGAGCAAGCCACACACACAAGTATCAGAGTCATTTAGCTCCCAACCAAATCCCCGTATGAAAATGCCAGGAAATGCAGGTACATTGTCTCTACCTCCCCTCCTCCACACATACCCAGGCATTGTGTGGGCGGTGAGCTGGGGAGGTATTTCCTAAATGCTCTTTTTTTAAAAAAAATAATTCTACTGGAGGGCTCATACAACTCTTATCACAATCCATACATGCACCAATTGTGGAAAGCACATTTGTACATTTGTTGCCCTCATCATTCTCAAAATATTTGCTTTCTACTTGAGCCCTTGGCATCAGCTCCTCATTTCCCCCCCTCCTCTAAATGCTCTTCTTATCGTGGTGAAGAATCCACTGGTCATTTACTGTCTAGCGCTCACCGAGACTGTAACCCACTATGGCTAGCATGGGACCGCAGTGGCCGGGCTGCCAGCAGGGGTATCCTGATAAACTCAAGTACACACATTTAATCGCCTAACAGCACAGACAACTTGGAATTATTACTCCAAGTTTCCAAAAGAGAAGATCAATTTCTAAGTAGTAGTACAAAGAAACTTAGCTGTTAAGGGGTAGTTATGGAACTTCACTGCAATCTGACCCCTTAAGCCCACGAACCCTCACAAACTGAGACCTTTAAGTACTTCCATACCAGCCTTCACACTTACCCTCACCAAAATGAGCTAATCAGCACCCCCATTGTGCAGGTGGGAACACTGAGCTTTACAGGGGCCCAGTGGCTTCTCCAAGGACAACCTAACTAGCTCAAAACATCAAACTCCATGTTAATTCAGACCCCGTATGTTCTTTCCACTAAATCAATGAGGCCTAGAGGCTGTGGGTATGGAAGGGTGTTGGAAAACAGATAAAGATTCGAATCTGAATGGAAACTCCGAGAAGGGTCTTTAGCATATCTTGAAGAGCAAGTGAGGAAGCGAGATTACAATCTGATGATGTATGTTCCCAGTTCCCAGCTCCCAGCCCTAAGTAAAACTCTTTAAAGCAGCAGTTCTCGACCTGAGTCAAGACCCCTTTGGGGGTCGAACGACCCTTTCATAGGGGTCACTTGATTCATAACAGTATCAAAGTACAGTTATGAAGTGCAACGAAAATGATTTTATGGCTGGGGGGGACACCACAATCTGAGGAACTGTATTAAAGGGTCGCGGCATTAGGAAGGGTGAGAACCACAGAAGCATTCCTCCTCTCGCCAAACACATCACACCCCATCCTCCCAGCTGGTCATTATCCAAGTCAGCATTGGTCCCATACCCACTGCGGCCTGAAAGTATAAACACACAGAATGGCTACTTCTGAACTTGCAAGAGCACCACACAGAGTGTAAAACGGCTCTTGATCCTCTGTCTCTGGTATATTGATCTTAGACTCTGAGGAGGGTGTACTGATTATGAATGTTTTCATTTTGTAATGTTTTTGTTTCAGTCTTGTCCTGGGAAGTCTGTCAGGTCAGTTTATAAAGTAATCCTGGAGGGACGTCAGCACAAGCGAAGAAGTGCGTCTGCTGGCTACGGGGCAGGACTTCAAGGGCAGGACTGCCAATGTAAAACCCCAGATGAATCTACTTTTTTATGTCACTGGTTTGGGGGGGGGGGCATGAAAGAAAGAGCTGTGGATTAAAATAACCTGTCAGAAGCCTCAATGACGATTTTCAAAGGAACCTGAAATAGACACTACATCCCTCTGCATGCTCTGCTTTCTAATCTACAGTTAGCCAGTTAGCAGCCACACCGAAAGACAAAGATGAGGTAGTTTCTGTTTTCATGTTCAAGTATTATTTGTCCAAAGACTATATGCTAAACATCCACGAGACTTGGGATTTCACAGATGTGCAATGTGAAGAAGGTAGCGGGGCCAAAGCATGCTTGAAATACCCCTAGTAAGACTCAGGCTCTGTTCCGTGAGTCTCACCACTCACCCCGTGCCCTGTGGCTTACGAACCTTCCCGGCTTCCTGGCAAATGGTGAGACTGCACTAAAACCCACACCCACCATCACCCAGTCTTTTCCAACTCAGAGTAACCCTAAGGACAGTGCACAGCTGCTCCTTAGAGCTTCTGAGACTGAAGTCCTCCTGGGAGCAGACAACCTCGTCTTACTCCCAAGGAGCAGCTGGTGGTTTTGAACCACCGACCTTGCCATTAGCAACCCAATGCTGTTAGTCCACTGTGTCAGTGCTTCCTGTCTAAGAGGATCTGGCTACAAAAGGCCCGAGGCTGCTTTCACTGTTGAGAAGTAAGAAAAGCCTGGAGGTTGACTTGCCAAAACTAGCTAGTGAGCACCTGAGAGATCACAAGAGAAGGCTGCCCAGTTTGCTTGCTTTGGACACATCACTAGGAGAGAAACAGCCAACCAACGAAGGCTAAGGAGCCCCTGGGTGAGACGGGTGGGCAGGATCACACAGGACCAGGCAACATCCCTTTCTGTTGTACTAAATGTCACCAGGAGTCTAGCCACCTACCAGACACACTATTCTTCCATCCCTCTAAGCAGTAGGACAGACACAGCAGTTCCAGAGACTCAGAGGCAAATCAAGACAGCTTTCCCTGGATCCCTCTTAAGTAACTATGGCAGGTTACCTAACAGCGATGCTTCCTTCCATCTGGGGCTGAAACCCAAGGAAGCTGAGGGAGCCGGAACAGAAAAGCGGTGAACCCCAGGCTCTACAAAGGCCTCTTTCTGAGCTGAACATCTCCTTAGTAAGAGAGCAAATAAAGAAGGACCTTCCGGAGAGGCACTGAAACCCTAAGGGCTGTGATCCTGTAATTTTTAGTCAATTAATTAGTCATCCCACACCAGGCCAGGGGCCACGGTCTGTTCATTCAACAATGAACAATTCCTGCTGAGCTCCTGCAGCATGCCAGGCAGGTGCTTTCCAAAGCATGGGATTCAAGATCGAGCAAGGCAGCTGTCACCCCACCTTCCTAGTGCTTACTGTCTAACACAGGTTGAGTATGCGTGAGCACCAAGACCAAACTCCCAGCCCTGGAGTCCATGCCAACTCATAGCAACCCTACTGGACAGGGTGGAAATGTCCCAGTGAGTTTCCGAGAATCCTCCTTGCCTTTCTCCAAATACACTGGGCAAAAATGGAAACCAGGGTGGTGAGAAGTTGTTGAGCACCCCCAACTCTTGGTGAACCTGTGCACAAGTAAACAAAATGCTGCCGGGTTCTGCCCTAACCCCATGATTGGTTCCAGATCAGACTGGTGCACTCCACGGAATTTTCATGACTGATTTCCGAAGTGGGTTGCCACGGTTTTCTTCCTAGCTTATCTCAGTCTGGAGACTGCACTGAAACCTGTTAGGCACCCTTAACAATGCACAAGCCTCCAATGACAGGCAGGTGGTGGCTGTTTG